CCCTGGGTCATGCTGGCCTGAGCAGTGACAGCATCCAGTCCCTCTTCACAGATGAGAAGACTGACAACCCATTGGGAACTAGAATCTTAGCCTTTTAAAATAATGGAGGGATTGAGTTTTCCAGGAAGCAGGATGGGTGACAAACATCCAGGACTGACAGGTCCTCACCCTAAGTCCCTTCCCACACCAAATAAAGGTGCTAATAGCACCTACAGCCTACACAGTCTTTCTTTCCTGGTTTACTCAAGGGCAGATCTGGCCCAGCAGGCTCCTACGGTCTCCTGTCACATTGCTTCTTCTGCTGATGCTGATCCCAAGGGGGAGTGACCCCGCCCAGGCCTCCACCCCTCTTTGTGTCCCTCCAGGTTCTTTCTGCTTGTCTGCCCCCAGGCCTTGATGGCCCTGGCTTCTAAAGAAGGTGGAGCACTGTCTGGGTTGTCCAGCCTACTTTGTCTCTGACCCAGCCGAGCTGGGCTAAACAGTATGGATGGAGCCCAGGCAAGGCTATCTTGCATCCCTAGTACTCCCTGACTAGTAACCGTCAATTCCTGTCTAGCTATGGTGTATCAGCACATGGAGTGTGAACTCTAATGCCCCCGGTGAGTATGTGGTTTACCCTGACTGTACCTTGTGATCTAGAGTCTAGTGACCCACTCTGGAAGGCTGGCATCTGGTGCTGTTGCTCCCCACAACCTAGTCAGCCTTTCTCTAGCCTCTGGCTCAGGCCTAGGAATGGCTCCAGTGGCTAGGGAAGGTTCATGTTGCCATGCCCTTGCCCTCCCTATCCCTGTGGACAGCACGCAGAACACACGATTCAAAATATGGCTCCTGGAACAAAGGCAACTATTGGAGCCTTACCTGTCTCACTTGGGTCCTGTGGCCTGGAGCCTTTGCTTAGCCGGTCGGGATTTATTACTTCTGTTTGTGCTGCCATTGCCATGGATCTGACTGTCACTATCCCCAGGCAGGCCCTCTCTGGACTCAGCAAGGATAAACATAGGACCAAGCACATTGAGAGCTGTCTCCTGCACCTCATCCTCCCATCTCCAGTCCCTATGTTGTGTCTCCAGGCTCAGGTCTAATGGGTAGTGGAGCCTGTCCCTGCTTCAGTGACTGGAAAATCAATACACCAGACAGATAGAAGTGAAATAAGATTACACCAGAGACAAAATAGTCCAAATCCAAATCCGGACATGGTGATTAACTTGCATTGCCAGGATTGGGTTTAGAATTAGACCAGGGAGACACATGCCAGGTATGTCTATGACAGAAGTTCTAGAGTTAATTAACTGAGCCAGGGAAGACAGGCCCTGATTGTTGGCAATGCCATGCCCCAGACTTGGGGTAAAGAGGAAAAGGAGAAGAGGCAAGAAGGCATCTCCTCTCTGCTTCCATCCACTAAGAAGCAAAGAACGGTTGCTACCATATGCTGCCACTACCAGGATTCTCTGCCCAAATGCGTAGGGCCAAGAAACCATCCACGGAACCCTCTGAAACTGTGAGCCCAATGATTTTTGCTCCCTTGTGTTATTTTGTCAGGTCTTTTGACAGTGATGAGAACTCTGTCTTCCATACCAGCTGTGACTTCTACCTCCTGACTTACCCCTGAATGATGTGGAAGTTGGTACCAGCAAGAGTCCCAGGAAGCAGATCCTCCAAGGTAGATTTGGGGATCTGTTCCACAGGCCCCCTAGGTTTAAGTGTGGCATGGAGTTCTTGTTGGAGAAATGCAGTGCCAGGAATCCATGGCGTGCAGCGGTGATTCTGCAGCACCCTGGAATCCTTATGGAATGTGATCCCAAGGCTCTGGCCTTTCAGTTCCAGTCCCTAGAGATACAGAGAACTCTCTTGGAAAATGCAAAGAGGTGGCCCGACTGTAGCTGCAGCTGGGAATGGTGTTGGTGTGTGTGTGTGTGTGTGTGTGTGTGTGTGTGTGTGTGTGTGTGCATGTGTCTGTGTATAGGGGATGAAAACTCATGTTTATCACCATCATGTATATTTGTTTGGAGAAAAGAGAGGGAATAGGAATACCTTTCATGAGGCTCAGAAGCCTTCCCCAGCCCCAGAATCAACAGGAAAGCCAGGCAGGACATTTGACTCAGTGCAAACATGGCTGCTAGATTTGGGAGGCTGCATTCCCTATATAAACCCACCTGTAGGCCTTCTAGGGTGGTTAGGCCAGTGGCTCAGAGGAAGAAGTCCAGTGTCTGGTCACCCTGGAAGTGGGGAATACCCAGGACACTTGAGCATTGTCTCTGGGACAGAATCTGACCTGAAAGCCAAGAGGACCTCAGGCGTATGGGAAGAAGCCAGTTCCCCAAGGCGCTCTTGAGATCCAGGGCACAGCTTGTCAGCCCAGTGCCTCGGAAACTCCATGGGACCCAGAGTGGGAGGTGGGAGAGGTTCCAGTGACGTTCAGGTGCAGTGGGGACTGAGGCAACTCACACTCTGTGTGGTCCACTGAGGGGTTGCAATCTTTGGGGATCGAAGGGAATTGCAGCCCTGGCTGAGGAACACTTTTCAACTGTAGGGAAGGGAGAGAAGGGTAGTTTTGGTGTCGCTCTTCACCCAGAAGTGCCAACAAAGCCACCAGGTACTGTCAATAGACTCAACTCAGTCAATAGGATCAACTTGGTAATGGGTTCTCTGGAGGTAGGGGCTGCTAACAGCGGAACTCACACACAGATGTACTTTGTTTGTTTGATTCACTCAAGCTACATTCAAACCTGCTGGACAACTTTGCTTTCTTCTTTGTGCTTCCTTGAGATTCTATTTTGGTTTTTCAAGACAGGGTTTCTTTGTGTAACAGTTCTGGCTGTTCTGGGACTCATTCTGTAGACCAGGCTGGTCTCGAACTCACAGAGACCTCTGCTTTCTGAGTACTGGGCTTAAAGGTGGGCACCACCACCTCCTGGTGAGATTGTGTTTTAATTACACCATTCTCCCACTCCTTTTCCCTTCCCACACCCTCCCCCACACTCCTTCCTGCTCTCCTTCAAATTTATGGCCCCCTTTTCCATCAATTGTCACTGCATGCATGTATGTATTTGTATATACATATATATTGCTAAATCTTTAAAAACGTTTTAGCTAATTCATTTTATTTGCTTGTGGAGGAGAGCTTCCCTTTTTTAGATTAGAATTTGAATTTGGAAACTTGAACCAAAGGAGAGGTTAAGGATGCCTGGGGGCTGGTCTCCTGTTTCCCCTTACAGTACCGTCTAAGTGACACCTTTTTTAGGGTAGTCAAATGAATGAAGGTGATATTTGAAGGGGCTACTGTGACTGTCACCTCTTCCTAGGCAGTTTAGGGTTTATCACTGGCAGGCACGGCCAAGCCTGCACTGAAATAGCTTGTCCTCCTTGTTGTTTTAAACAGACGGTATCCAGGCGCTTTGAATATTTTGCTGTGGGGGTTTCTGGCAGAACATATTTCAAGGGAGAGAAAGTGGATAACAAATGGTGGGAAGGAGCGGACGAATTGCCTGCGAAGCTTGTGTACGTTGTGTGTGGATATGAATTAGGGTATGTGGAGCCCTTGCGGTATTCCTGTTGACGTCCTTTGCTTATTATTCATGGTTTCATTATGGCCCCTCTTATTCACTTGCACACACAGCTAGAGGCAGGGGAGGAGGTGCCTGGTTCAGTCTTAAACAACAAATCCAAACATAAACTTCACCATGTATTTTAGAGTTATAGGTGTATGCATTACTTTGTCCCATCAAATCTTGCCTTTCCATTTTGGCCACATAAATGGTTGTCATAGTGATTTGCTTCCAGCCCCTATGGCTTTGATGTAGATCCAGGGCTCAGAGGGTACCCAGTGACCGTAAATTCAGCTCCCAACTGTCCCCTTTGGTCTCTGAAAGTAATCAGATATGAAACCTGCCAGAAAGCAGCTCCTGCGATTCTTGCCTGAGTGAAAATTACATTGCAATTAGGCTAACGCAGACCTTATGTTAGAGTTATGCAGAACGGGGGTGGTGGCGTTCATTCACTCTTGTGTGATGGGTTAGTTGAAAATTTTCAAGCGTTGAGCTAGTGGAAGTCCTGGCTTCTGGGATCCAGTGGTAGATGTTTATTTCCTCCTAAGAATCTTTGTGTCTCTTGGATCTAGCCCAGATTCTTGAAGGAAGGAGTGTTTAAACATCTCTTCAAGATTTCACACCCTCTCCAGTGATTTTGTGCTAATGTTATTTTGTAAACCTTTTGTGTATGTTAAACTTGAATATCATCTTTAAAGATAGTTCCTTAAAGGGACCTGGAGAAATGGCTCAGCTATTGAGAGAGATTGCTGCTCTTAACCCACATTGGGCACCTCACAACGGCCTCTAATTTCAGCTCTAGTGGATCTGACTTCCTCTCTTGGCCTCTACGGGCAGGCACCTGTACTCATATGTTGATATGCACGCCTGCCTCCTCCACATATTTTTAAAAAGGAATAAAAAGGCGTTACCTTACAGCCTTTTCTCCTTAAATGGAATGGATTGATCATAATATGGAAGCAAAGACTTCAGCATCTTGGTGTTGAAGGGTCTCTCTCAGCTACTAGAGACCATATAAGACTGTAAAATGTAATTACTAGGGGAGGAAGGATGTAAGTCCACGATTTGTTCCCCATCCATTGATGTGTTCACCTAGGACAGGGCATTTTCCTATAGTCTTTCCTGGGGGAAAGTCTAACATCTATCAGAGTAAGATAGGCAACTGTCGTCCAAGACACAAGACATGAAAAGGAAAAGGCCCAGGGTGATTTGAGGCAGCAAGTCATTGAGATGCTTTGGCTGCAAGGGAAAGGAAATACTCAAATGTGGCTTCTTTAGTTTGCATTTATTTTTCTAACATGAAGTTGAGAGGCAGAGGATTGCAGGGCAGGCTTAGCAGGTCCCTTGCATAGTGAGCTTACCCTCTCCCTCCTGGTCTAGACACCACGGCTTCAGTATCGCGTTCATGTCTGTGCAGTCGAATTTCTTTTGCTATGACAAAATTCCTGAGAAAAATCAGCTTTTAGGGGACAAGCTTTATTTGGGTTCATGGCTTCTGATATCTCTGTCCATGGTCATTAACTTTGCTGCTTCTGAGCTCACAGAGAGGCAGAATATTGTAGTGGGAAGCAGGTTGTGGAGCCAGACCGTTCATTTCATGGTAACTAAAAATGAGAGAGACGGCGTGGGAGAGGAAAGGGATGAAGGAGGGAGGGGATAATAGGGGAGGAGCAAGGTACCCACCTCAGAGGCTAGGCCCCAGGGACCTACCTGCTTCAACTAGGCGCCACCACTTACCTTCCAACAGTGATGAACCTATCAATGGATTAAGTCATCAACAAGATTAGAGTCTCATGGTCCAATCACTTCTAAAAACTGCTGAGGTGTGAGCACCAAGTCTTCTATAGGTGAGCTTGTGGGGAGGAGGGGAAGCTTTTCAGATCTTAATAGTAATGACACTCTAAGTCTGCAGAGTCCAAAACATGAAGCAAGAGAAGATGAACCTGTTCTTGTTCATTCATCTTCTTTCTTTCTTTCTTTCTTTCTTTCTTTCTTTCTTTCTTTC